TTAGTGCTGGGTAAAGAGCGAACTGAAATAAAGAGTGGAGACTCCAGAAGGTAAGATTCTGCTTCAGTGAAATTTATCCAAAAAAAAAAAAAAAAGAAGAAGAAGAAAATAATCTCATTTGCAAAGGTGTAAAAAAGTAAAATACATGGAAGAAATTTAAACAAGGAGGTTAAAAATCACTATACTGAAAACTATACAATTCTGATGAAATTGAAGACACAACTAAATGGGACAATATCTTGTGCTCTTGGGTTGAAAAAATCAATATTGTCAAAATGTCCATACTACCCAAAGTGATTTACAGATTCTTTGCAGTTCCTGTCAAAAGTCCCATGGCATGATAGTCAACTGCTTTTTAACAAAGGTGCCAAGAACACACATTCAGGAAAAGTCTCTTCAATAAATGGTTCTGGGAAAATTGGATAATCATATGAAGAAGAAGGAAACTCCTGTCTCTCACCATATACAAAAAATCACCTCAGAATAGATTAAATACTTAAATGTAAAACCCAAAGGTTTGAAACTTCTAGAAGAATACATTGGACTGGGCAAGGGCTTTTTAATTAAGACCTCAAAAGTACAAGCAACAAATCAAAAATAGACAAATGGGACTGTATCACACCGAAAAACTTTTGCACAGTAAAGAAAACAATTAGCAGAGTGAAAAACAATCAACCCACAAAATGGAAGAACATATTTGCAAACTACACATCTGATAAGGGATTAGAAGCAAGAATACATAGGAATTTTAAACAAGTCAACAGTAAAAGAACAAATAACCTAATCTAAAAATGGGCAAAAGGCATTAGTCAACATTTCTCAGAAGAAGGCATTCAGATGGCCAACAGGTACATGAAGAAATTGCTCAATATCTCTAATCATAGGGAAATGCAAATCAAAATCACAATGAGATACCATCTCATTCTGATGAGAATAACTATAATAAAAAAGACAAAAGAAAATAAGTGTTGGCAAGGATGTGGGAAAAGGGAACACTGACACACTGTTGGTGGCAATGTAAATTAGACACAATGGAAAAATATATGGAGGTGCCTCAAAATTAAAAATTACCATATGATCCAGTAATTCCACTACTAGGTATATTCCCAAAGGAAATGAAATCAGTATGTCGAAGAAATATTTGCACTCATGTTTATTGCAGTACTGATTATAATTCCAAAGATACGGAATTGTCCCAAGTGCTTATCAACAAATACGAGGGGAGACCCTAAAAACCAGAAATTTATTTATAAAAAATCTGTATTTACTCTTACATGCTTAAACTTCAGTCACTTTCAAAGTACTCTCCACTTGATGCAATACACCTATAGAGATGCTGTTTCCACTGCTCAAAAGTTTTTGACCTTGTCAATATTGATGCCTTTTAGTGCTTCTGCTGGTGTTTTTGTTTTGTTTTTTGTTGTTGCTTGTTTTGTTTTATTTCACCTCTTCTACATTGGCAAAATGTTTCCTTTTGAGGATATTTTTCATCTGGGGAAACAAAAAGAAGTTGCTTAGGGCAAGACAGAGTGACCAGTGAGGATGGGACACCAGGTTCATGCTGTTTTTGATCAAAAATTGCTGAACATTCAGTGCTGTGTGGGCAGGTGCACACATCATGAAATGGGCAAATGAGTTGAAAGAATCTCCAAAAAAATATTCACTGAGGCTGAATGCATCCTCTCACAATGCTAGCTGGAACACTGATGCTGATGGGTTCCTAGAATGCTTACTTGGGGTGCGGGGGCCAGCCTTGTACTTCAAGGAGCCTACCTGCCAAAAAATAATCCCACATTTTTTGGGCTGCCCTCATAAATGGATAAAATGTGAGATTACATAGATATTATACACACACACACACACACACACACACACACACACACACACATATATATACACATACATGTATATGTATATATAGGTCAGTTGAAATTATACTTTCCTCTGCTTGGTTACATATGCAAGATCAAATGTATAAAAATATCAGCATCTCATTTTTATGTAGATACACACACACACACACACACACACACACACACACACACACACACTGGAATACATTTAGTCATAAAAAAGAATGAAATGTTGTCATTTGCAACAAGGTGGACTGAACTGCAGCTCATCATGTTAAGTGAAATAAGGCAAGCACAGAAAGGCAAAAGTTACCCGATTCACTCGCAATTCTCACTCACATGTGGAACTGGAAGTAATGAAGTTGATATCGGAAAAGCTGAGAGTTTGAATGGTGGTTGCTAGAGACAGAGAAGGGAAGGAAGGAAGGTACGATGAAGAGAGGTTGATCAGTGAGTATAAAGTTACATTTATATAGGATGAATAATGTCAGGTGTTCTATTGCGCTGTAGGGTGACGATGTAAGATATGGCATTTTACAGAAGAGCCAGAAGAGAAGCCTTTGAATGTCCTCACCGCAAAGAAATGAAAAATGCATAAGGTGTTGGTCACACTAAATACGCTAATTCAATCATGACGCAACCTATATATGTATCAAACCATCAAATTGTACCCCATAGATATGCACAAGTATAATATGTCAACTTAAAAATAATAATTTTTAAAGTCTCATAGTGTTTTACACAGAAATGACAAAAGAAACATTAAAATATATATGGAACCACAATACGCCCTGAATAATTAAAACAGTTTTGAGCAAGAGCAAATCTGAAAATGTCACGCCTCCTCATTTCAAATTACATTGCAAAACTGTAGTAATCAAAACAGCATGATACTAGCATGAATACAGACACATAGACCAATGGAACAAAAAGTTCTAAAATAAACTCATACATTTACAGTCAATAGACTTCAAAGAGGCCAGAAGCACACAATAGGGAAAAGACCATTTTTTTCAATAAATGGTGTTGGGACGACTGGATGTTCACATGCAGAAGAATGAAATTAGAGTCTCATCTCACACCACATACAAAAATCAACTCAAAATGGATGAAAAACTTAAATGTGAAACCTGAAATTGTAAAGCTATTGAAAGAAACCATTAGGGGAAATCGTCATGCCATTGGTCATGGCAACGATTCTTTTCTTTGTTTGGATATGACACTAGAACACAGGCAACAAAAGTAAAAATAAACAAGTGGGACTGCATGGAACCAAAAAGTTTCTGCAGCAGAAAAGGAAACAATTAACATAATGAAAAGGCAGCTTATGAAATGGGAGAAAATCAGCCAGGCTCGGTGGCTCAGCCTGTAATCCCACGCCTTGGGAGGCTGAGGTGAGTGGATTGCCTGAGCCCGTGGGTTCGAGACCCACCTGGGCAACTTGGAGAGACCTCATCTCTACAATAAATCAAAAAATTAGCTGGGCATGGTAGCGCACACCTGTAGTTCCAGCTACTTGGAAGGCTGAGGCAGAAGGATCGCTGGAGCCAAGCAGGTCGAGGCTGTGGTGCCTGGGAGTGGCCACTGCACTCCAGTCTGGGCGACATAGTGAGACTCCAACTCAAAAAAAGAAAAAAGAAAGAAATGGTAGAAAATCTTGGCAAATCATATATCTGCTAAGGGGTTAAATATCAAAAATACATACGAAATTCATACAACTCAATATCAAGTAGCTAAATGAAAAAATGGGTAAAGGACCTGAATAGAAATTTTTTCCAAAGAAGATATGCAAATGACCAGTGGGTTTATGAAAAAGTGTTCAACACACTAATCATAAGAGAAATGGAAATCATAATGAAATACCACTTCACAACTGTTAGGAAGACTGTCATCAAAAAAGTCAAAAAGTTTTGGTGAAGTTGTGGAGAAAAGGGAACACTTACATGTTGTCGGTAAGGATGCAAATTGGTACAGCCATTATGGAAAACATTATGGAGTTTTCTTAAAAAATGAAAAAGAGAACTAGCATAAGACCTTGCAATTTCTGGGTATATTTCAAAGAAAATAAAATCACTTTCTTGAAGAGATATCTGCACTCTTATGCTCACTGCAGCATTATCCATAGTAACCAAAATACTTAAGTGTCTAAGTGGATAAAGAAAATGTGGCATATATACACAATGAAATATATTTATCCTTAAAAAAAAAAGGAGGTCTTTTGTTTGTCACAACAGAGATGAACCCAGAGCACATTATGTTATGTAACATAAGCCAGACAAAAACAAATACTGCATGATCTCATTTCCATGTGGAATCTAAAAAAGTCAAACTCTGAAGCAGAGTAAAAGGCTTGTTACCAGGAGTCAAGGGTTAGAGGTAATGAGGATATAATGATCAAAGCATACAAACTTTCACAGTTAAAAGATTAATAAATTCTAGAGGCTAATATAGAGTGTGGTTACTATGGCTAACAATGGATACTTGAAATTTACCAGGAAAGTAGAGCTTAAGTGTTCTCACTACATATAGACACACGCAAAAGTAACTATGTGAGGTGATGAATATGTTAATTGTCTTGGTTGTGGTAATTTCACAGCGCATTTGTATATCAAAACATCATGTTGCATCCGTAAATATACTGTCAGTTTTGCCTCAATAGAGGGGAGAGGAGAATGACCTCTTCCAAATTTTATATTTTTGTCAGTTTGTGACCCCAAAGTTTTCTGTGGTTCTGAGACCTCAATAAACAAAGATCAGTTAGATAGTTCATTTAGAAAATCCTGTTTCAAAAACAAATTGTTTTTCATTTCCCGTGGCTTACCTCCACGTGAATTAATTGCCAAATTCATCCTGTACTTCGTTTAGGCCCCAACAGACGTATGCATCTAGATTTTGATGGATTCAAGTTTATAGCCCTATTAAACTGTTTATCTTATCTTTAGTTGTTGCTTTTCTTTACCACTCATGATCAATGAATATAAATCAGTTGTTTAAGAATTTGAGAAAAAATGTGCCATTGCCTTCATGTTTTGTATTGTGTTCATTAAAATCCTAACTCATTTGTGACTTTCGCTGTTAGAATGAAAACAAATGCTGACTTAATTATCCTTATAAACATTTTTATTTTTTACTACTCTCATTGTGAAGGTCATGGGCAGTGTAACTGTGGAAGATGTGACTGCAAAGTAGGCTGGTATGGGAAAAAGTGTGAGCACCCACGTTCCTGCATGCTGTCGACAGAGGAGAGCCTCAAGAAATGTCAGGGAAGCTCTGATCTGCCTTGCTCTGGAAGGGGTAAGTGAGGTTTCTCAAGGTTTGTCACGGTCTCCTGATCATATGATTCAAATGAGTTCAATTCATATATATATCCTATTTTAAAAAATAGCTGAGATCCCCGAATGAGGGACGATTTGTCTTTTTAGAACTAATAATAAATCCAATTTCCATGAATGAAAGTACATGGAGAAATAGATCTCTTTCTCTCTTATACACGCACACATGCTGACTCACTGCCAGTCTACTTTGGTTTTTGAGGTGTGTTCAATTTCAGTTCAGTTCATTTCAGTTCAATGCTACATTAAAAAAAGAAAAAAGAACATGATGTGGATGTTTGCTTAAAGCTTTCAGAATGAGACCATCTAATAATTGACATTTATGAAACTCAGTAACATTACTTTTGAGGAGATTGTTGGCTTTTGAAAGAGCATTGTATAAACAGATAGCTATGAATAAGCTTTTGTTGTGTTAGAAGGCATGTAGCCTCAGGTGTGTTCTTGGTATCAGATCAGTACAAATTGGAGGAGAAGGAAAAATTAATCTAGAAGAACACTAGTTTCATTCTTTTCAATTCATCAGAATAAGATATACAATTTCACCTCTCACATAAAAATAGCAAAGCTAATATGAAGTTTGTTTTTGGAGGAACTGGTAATTTAAGTTATTGCAAATGTTGCTCAAGAAAGAGGACACAGAAAGACTTATTTTACTTGAATGTTAGTTCAGAAAATTAATTTTATGTTGCATTTTTTAAACATTCTTTTTATTGAAATATAATTCACATGCCATAAAAGTCATACATGTTTAACATATTAACATAATTTTGCAGTCATCACTACATCTAATTCTAGAACATTTTTATCACTACAAAAAAGCTTTGTACCCCATAGCGATTATTATTTCTTGTGCCCTAACCCCTAGAAGCCACTAATCTATTTTCTCTCTATAGATTTGTCTGTTCTATCTAAATGGAATTAAAACATATGTTTTCTTTGCATCTGGCTTCTTCATTTAGCATAAATATTTGTAAGGTTTATCGGTGTCATAGCATATGTCAATACTTCATTCCTTTGTATGGCTGAATAATAGCCCATTGTATAGGTATAACACAGTTGTTTAACCATTTATTAGTTGATGCACTTTTGGACATGGTTAGTTTCTACTTTTGTGCCATTATGGATAATGCTGCTATAAACATTCATGTGAAAGATTTTGTGTGGACATGTGTTTTAATTTCTTTGGAGTATATATCTATGAGTGAAATTGCTGGGTCATATAGTAGCTCTATGTTGAACTTTTTGAGGTAATGCAGGACTGTCTTTAAAGTGATTATTTTACATTCAAAAAAGCAGTCTATGAATATTCCAATTTTCCATTCTTGCCATTACTTGTTATTGTCTTTCTGATTACATGTAGTTTTCTTTATATAGAAAATTCCTTTGGGCCTCCAAGATTATTGATACCATAGATGTTTTCTCAAATGCAATATTTTTTCACTAATGATTATAAGTAGAAGAGTAAGAGACGGGTAAAAAGGAATTTTTAAATTTCACAAGTATTTCAGACTAGCACTATATTTTACCAATAACTCCAGACACGAACTACTGCTCTACCTATATCAATAATATTGCCATTATACTGCTGAGTAAGGTTTTAAAGTAACAGAGATGAAAACTGGTATTCCTTGAACTATTGTTATTTTCTGCACTTATAATCTATAGCAAAAAATAAATTAGTTTACATTTACAAAAAAATTTATCTATTGTACTCAGCCATGTTTAAAAAAATTACATAGAAAGGCTAATCTATATCTCTTATATATATATATATATATATATATATATATTAAACTGTGCATCTTTACCAAAATTTATTATAATACTGGAGACAATTCCATTCCAAATTGAAAACCTTGGGAGGGAAAGAAAATAGCTATATCTCAAAAATAGATTTTTATTCTTGAGGATACCTTTTCAGTTATATTTATCTTAGAAATGTTTTGGTACAGTGATTTTTGCTGTTATCTTAAGTACAGGGAGGTCTGATCTCTTAAAACATAATTTAAGTTAAAGAGACCTGCATTTTGTAAAATTATTAAAACTTCAAATAGTTATATCATTACTAGAAGTGAATAGAATAGAAACCAATAGGGATGTGTACTTATCTTCCAAACCAAAAATGTGGAACAAAATTCATACTTTTTTTTTTTCGTTTGAGTTGGAGTCTCACTCTATTACCCAGGCTGGAGTGCAATGGTACGTTCTCGGCCACCACAGCCTCGAACTGCTGGGCTCAGGTGATCCTTTCATTTCAACCTTCCAAGTAGCTGGAACTCCAGGTACACACCACCACACCCAGCTAACTTTTTGGCTTATTGTAGACACGAGGTCTCACCAAGTTGCCCAGGCTGGTCTTGAACCTATGGGCTCAGGCAATTCTCTTGCCTTGGCTTCCCAAAGTGCTGGGATTACAGGCTGAGCCACTGTGCCCAGCCAAAATTTATATATATTTACAAATGTTTTTATATTTTGAGGTAAAAAATGACAAATTTCATAATAAAAATAAGAAAACAAAATATCTCTCAAACTAAGAAAAATCACTTTAGTATATACTTGCACCAATGATTTTTCATCTGTCTCTACATTTGTAAATATATGAAACAAGTGCAAGAAAATTATTATGGACCTCTTATATGTATTTATGCACACACACATGCGCGCGCGTGCACACACACATACATACACACACACACACATATATATATATACCTTTAATAAATTCCATCTGGATTTGTTCTTCAAACATATATATGTTTTCTATCTTTCTCAAGATTCACTAACTTATTTAGAAGCATGCAGCCTACTTATGTAGTAAATCCTTACTTGTACCCCTCAACTCTATAAAATAAATTAAAATTTAAAAAAATTTTATAAAGAAGTGTTGAATACATGTATAAAATTATGATTTAAAAATTGTTTATAAGTCATTTCAGCCTCTCGTGGTACTTTACAAATAAATGAAACATTACTAATTTCCTCACAGAGGAGTGAAGGTATTGATGCGTGAAGTGATTTCCCCGGGAACCATATCACAATATTAAGATTTTTTTTTTTTTTGAGTTGGAGTCTCACTCTGTCGCCCAGACTGGAGTGCAGTGGCCGCTCCCGGCCACCGCAGCCTCGACCTGCTGGGCTCCGGCCATCCTTCCGCCCCAGCCTTCCGAGTAGCCCGAATTACAGGCATGCGCTATCACGCCCGGCTGATTTTTTGATTTGTTGTAGAGATGAGGTCTCGCTGCCCAGGCGGGTCTCGAACCTGCGGGCTCAGGCCATCCACTCACCTCAGCCTCCCAAAGGCGCGGGATGACAGGCTGAGCCACCGAGCCCGGCTAATATTAAGATTTTTGAGAATGAAAACCAAGAATTTCTGAGAGCGAGCCCAGTGCTTGGACCAATGGTCAGAGATCTTTCCTTTCTTGTAGTTGCAAACTCATTGACACTGGATGCTTGGAAATAAATGGCCAATGTGAAAACTTTTAAAGGATAAGTTTTGTCATTTATGAATGAAGACTGCGGTTGTGGTTACATGAGTGAGGAAAGCAATTACAAGATCCATCAATTCTCAAGCTTGAGAACCTCATCAGCTTACCAGCTGGGACCAAAACAAATAAATCAACCAATATTTTGGTAGAAAGTACTGAAATGCTTCAGGGTCCAGGTGAAGTCTGTTTTGTTTGTTTTTTGTCAGAAATTAAATTACCGTATTTGCTTCCTCTGGTAATGACTAAGAGTGATCATTACGTCTTGAAGGTAGGAGAATAACTTGATTAATTTCTTAAATTGTCTATTGATCCTGTGATTCTTTGATTTTTATTTCTTATTGCCTATATATATACACATATATATTCATTTAGACTATATATTATCTCCTATAGTTGATTTCTTAAATTGTCTGTTGAACCTGAGAGTCTTTGATTTCCATTTCTTATTGCCTATATATATATACATGTATATTCATTTAACTATATATTATGTCCTATAGTCAATATTTATCTTAATATTCTCATATTAGTGTTCTGCTTAAAAAATATATTGGTTTATGGTAGACTACCCATGAGTTTTCAACTCATTGATTTAAAAATAAATTTTTATGATTCTTGATGTCCTCCTGAGCATAAGTCTGACTTTGGTCAAAAAAAAAAGGGAGCAAAGCTCATGCATATCACAGCTGAGCAGAAGTTTTAAGAGGTAGTGAAATATTTGCCATTCTTTCTTTCCCTCTGGCGTGAGTATTTGCAGGGTAGAGAAGGTCAGTGATCCACTACTCTGGGTCTCCGAATGAGGAGGGTTAGCAGAAATCTATGCTGACCCATCAAGGACCAGTAATATGAGTGAAAAAGAAACTTCTGTTGTTATAAGCAAGTGAGGTTTTGGAGTTGTTTGTTATTGCAGCAGTATGCCTGATACTCTCTTCTATATACAAAATTTAGGAAATATAATTAAGCCAAAGCAAATAAACACAACAAAATCACACTTAAACCTAAAGAGATAAACGTATAAACAGTTGAGTATTATTGCTGTATGTATATGTTATCAGTATCAATATCTAATCTAAATAATAGAGGCATGTATATATTTTACAAACGATGTATAATGCTAGTCTATCAACAAGGTGGCTATGTACACTTACTCAACAGGTGAAATGCTCAGAACATTGAAATATATACATTTTAATTTCCTAAATACACATTGAGGTGGAAAGAAGTATAATTTTTTAATAGAAAAATAAATTGGAAATTTAAACAGCTTACCATCTTCCATAGTACGTTTTGTAGGTTCCTGTTTAACTTAAAAATTTAATACAGTTTCTCTGATTTCAGAGTTGTTGTTTTAGATAATTTGCAGATTTTTTACATGCCAATTAGCTAAACAATATATAGTAAATATATTTACTTGTTACAAAGATAATTCTGAAAAATCATGGATATGGCTGCATAATATTTCGTTATGTGGCTATAA